TGCCTCGCTATAGCAATGATCATGTGATTGGCAGCACCTAGGAAACAAGGAAGAAAAGGTCAGCAAATGCCAGCAATGCTAACTCAGCTGACTTGTAAGTCATCTCAATAGGCTGGTATTTCTTAGACGAGGCGCTGAACAAAAAAAGGCACCCGGTGATAGGAGAGCAGGCACAAAGGACCTCAAAGGGAAACAAATGATCCCAGAACCGCCTGGTACATGTGCCCTTACTTCAGCGTCGTTGCAGGGTTGTCCACCGGGCTCAGGGAGAGCGCAAAGACCAGCGTTTACCCTAGGGTCCCCATCCGTGCCCGGTGCGTGATGAGCTAAGAGCTGAGTCAGCTCGCTGGACCTTGGTTATCAACCTCGTGTGATCTCTAAACCACCAAGCTGGTTCTTGGCACTGCGCAGCTCAGCGCTGAGCACGGGGTGGTCAAACGCTGCTGCGCGCTCAGCGCTGCTACGAAAATGCTGATACACACCCGTTTCAGCCATCCACTGTAGCTGCCCCAGAAGTCCAAGTTACTTGGATTATATTTTATCCTAGTAACAACACACTGAGGGGTGATACTGCACAGCCTTTTTCCTTTAAAGCAGTCTTTGGGCGAAACCTTCATTCGCAGCAGCCAGAGATTTTTGTGAATGCCGACAAAGGGCCAGCTGGGGAGAAGCTGGGGAGATGCAGACCACAAAAAGCAAGCAAGGAGAGGAGAGGTTTGTGAAAGCAGTCTTACCAACCTGTCAAGTTCATCTACTGGTGTCCCGCTGCCTCCCAAGCCGCAATAGCAGCCGTAGTCAGCAAAATCCTTCAGAGGGTCACTGTGTGGGATGGTGCATTTGATCATCTCACGAAACTGCCATACTGCCCGGGGTGAGACAGCAGCACTTGCTGCACCCACTGAGAAAAAACACAGAGGTTAGCGTTACACATGGGGCGGTCCAGGGGATGTCCAGGGGATGTCGCGGGGGCAGGGATGCCGCACACACACCAGACAGCAGGAAAAGCAGTACAAGAGACTTCATTATTGAAGGACTTATCAAAGAAGTTACTGCTAAAGAAAATGTGGCTCTTTATACTACAAGCTCACCTTGACACAGAGGTGAGATAAATGAGCTAGTATTTATGTTACTAAACACAAACCTCCATCAGAGGCCATGGCCAGGAGATTGTGTCATGGCCATCTGAAGGCCGGCGGAGTTAAAACGCCAGAACGCCAGGAGACAAATATTTGCTCCTTAGCTTTCTGTTATTAAATTATTCTAAAGTTAGTATTAGAAGCCAGCTGGAACGATCTGGGTATTTTTAAGGGCTCTCTGCTAAAAAATATAGCAGTGTTGGTAGTTATGTTGGAAACTGCTGGCATACCAATATCCACCCTATTAATATGTGGCATGCTCTTCTTATGGTGTCCTGTTCATCAAAATCTGCCTGGCAAACGCAGCTCATCCTTTCAGTACAGGGTATGTCCAGAAGAAGCCACCTGTTCTCCCTCTCGCACAGGGCCCCTGCTCTTCAAATTAGGGGAAATTAATGTCTATGCCAGTTGGTAGACTTTAACCACATATCTGGAAATGCAATAGTTGACCTTTCCCTTGTGGCTGTGAGGTTTGGCCAGCCCTACTCCAGTAGCTGCTGAATCCATGCGCAGGTGGCACAGTACTCACCTTCCTGGAAGGCCTATTATTATCTGGCTTGCACAAGGACTTGCACCTATTCTTAGAAGACCTTAGAGGTGTTAGACTGGAAGTGAACTGGGCTTAAAAGTTTTAATTCATACAGCAGATTTCAGTAGGTCAGAGACAGCAGTTTCTGTTTCTCCAGCACCCAGCAGCCAGTTAGGCTCTTTGGTTCTCTGCGCCAAGGCTTGAGGTGAGAAGAAGCTTCCTGGAGTTGGCTGGGGTGAGTCCAAAATACTGCACTCATCTTCAGAGCCCAGAGGCTCTAACTCCGTCAAGGCTACAGGCTTGGCATTTTTACACACTGACGATCTAGATCCTAGACGACTCCCTTGACAACAGGAGTCTCCATTTATTTCGAACGCACCCGAGCAAGCCTCCAGTTTTTACGAGCGAGGGGAAGAGGCAAAGCCCACCTTTCCACAACAGCCTAAATTTGCAGAGTGCTTATGCAGGAGACTTAGTGCTCAGCACCCTTTGGCAGGTTCAAATGCATGTTTCCGGAAGGGCACCTTCACCGCAACTGATGACAAGGACCCCCTTGCTGTCATAACGGCTGAAACTACAGCAGGATGCCCAGTGTATCCTTAGGTTGCTAAAGGCAAACAGAAGCTGAGGTACAGATTCAAGTGTTGTGTCCTAATAGCAAGAACACTGAACAAACTTTTAAGACTGAAGTAAAGGACGCTCCATGCTCCAGTTAATTTAGAAACAACAATTTAATCCTTTCGCTCACAGACCAACGTGCTTTCCCCTTCAATAAAGAGTTCTCTTTCTCCTTTGCTTCTTTAGCCGCTTTTACTCTTTTTTGTTAATTGCTCTGTTCTTTTACCTGTGAATCTTAAGGGTTCGTTTTGTCCCAGCTTTTCCGTTTCTGATTTACCACTAATGTTGCTAAAAAACCTTCCATTAGCAAATTGGTCTTTTTAAGTCACAAATGGCAAGTACCTTCCATATCTCGGATTTCATCCATCATAATGCAGCAAGAGAGGCACCAAGCGTGAGAAAGGGAACATGTGAGCCTTATAAGAGTGCCTTATGAGAAAAAGCCCAGCAGGGTAAAGATTTTTCCACCCATGCTATTTTTGGTCTTCAGAAATTATAACAACCTGTTGCTGGCCTTCATTGCGCATATGAGGACAGCCCAACTTACGAGTGGTTCCTAAATTCACAGGCCTGTACTAGATGCACCTTAAATTATTTGTAAGGATTTTAAACAATTAAGCCCCTGCTACATAGGGTTCCCCACCCTATTTTACACTGTTATAATTTGCCTTTCTCTTCCAGTGTTAAGACTTTTTTTCCCCCCCTCTCTGCACTTTCCTTCCGTACATCTAGCCCCCCTCAGTCCACTGTAGTCTATGAATCCAAAGAGTATCTGAGCCAACTTTCTAACCACCACAGTCTCTTCTCTCCTTTCTTCAACCTACAGATATCTATACAAAAACCTCTGTAACGTAAAGAGGAGACACCATCCCTGTTGAAACCAGATCTGACTCACATTATAAACTGGGCCGGAGCCAAAGCTGGGAGCAGAGCGCAGCGCTAGATCCCTGGGGCTCTTATCCTAACGACAGGATGAGACTCCCGCCAGGCCCAAGTGCGCCTAAGAGCTCCTCCACCGGAAAAATCACCCACACCCAAATAATGACAGAGAGGGACAGTTTTCAAATAATTTATTAGGAATTTAAAACTGAAATCTGGAAAAAGGGTTACAGGTGTGGAGAGAACAAACATTGGAGTGTAATAACTTACTGGCTTAAAAACACAGCTTTATTTCTTTTAAAAAAAATGCCCACCCTGAAACCGGAGCCCCAGCCTCCAGGCAGCGGCAGCACTGGCCAGAGAGTGAATCACAGCCCAGCAGCAGCACAGGCAGCCTGTGGATGTCTGGAGGGGGCACAGAAGCAGTTCAGCGCATTTACCAAGAGGGAGGAAAGCGCTGTCCGCAGACCCAAATTTGAAGTATATAGAATAAAAATAAACCCAATAAAATGCAGCTCTTCTTTAATTAGGAAATATTTAAAAAAACAGACATACAGACTCTTGTCTCAGTAACAAAAATTATTGCTTTGTGTTTTCAGTACTAATCCGTAAAGTACCCTCTTACCTAAACAGAACTCTCCAAACATATCGCCCAGGTCAGGACAAGCTCCGGCCCCCGGGGAGGGAACGGAAGAGAAGGGCCTTTGGGCACTGTGGCCCTCCCAGTCCTTTCTAAATGGCCCTCTCCCTCGCAGGGGCTCAGTTTGGGGGAAGAGAGGGAATGATTTTTAAAACTTAAGATGAAGCTGTTATTTCCCTGGGAAAAGAATGTGGCTGCATCTTAATAAAAGGCTCAATCACCCCCCTTAACAAGGTCTTTGGTTCACTTAATCCAGACCCAAACCTGCCCCTAATTCTCCTGCTGGAGGCTTCCCTGGGCGGAGCCTGTTCCTTAGCGCGGGCCTGGGCCACGCTAGGGGAAGCCCCAGCAGGTTCTGGAGAAGGGACCAGATCAGCCCCGCACGCGACAACGGACAAGTTCCCCCGCTCTTCAGAGCGCAGAGTAAAGCAAATGGGAAGCTGCGATTCCGTAATTCGTATAATCCCTGAGAAGCCCTTAACCCGCCCCCAAATCACCACCCTAATGCTTTTCTCCCCGATTAATGACTCCCCAACCCAGCGCCCTGCCCTCTAGAGAGCGACCACCCACATCTCCCCCCGCCCGAGGCAACACCCCTTCCAGTGCCCTCGCCTCGGGAAGAGCATCCCCTTCCCAGGAAACCCTGACACGAGCGATAGTGTTTGGAGAGTGAATTCCTTTCAAAGTAACCAAGACGAGCAGTGGCGGTAAAGCCCTTTTACCTAAAGCCAAACGGGACGCTGGCACTACGCAGCCCAGTGATGGAGTCTGTACATTGAGCGATTGGAAGCAGCTTTAACCCGCTCAGCAAAACAGCTGATGTACCCCCCCCCCCCGCCCCCCCCCCCTTCATCTCATCAGAGGTCTTAAAATCTTACAGTAAAAGGTGTACAAAAAAAGAACGGAGTCCTGTCAGGATTCTGCTGGAGAGTATTGCTCACACTGCGGCACCAAGTCCAGGACCTGGAGCTGCTCCTTGGAGCCAGGCTGCGGGATGCAGCCAGGTTCACCTCGCGATATTTACATATTATACAGGAGGAAAAAGAAAACCCCACGTAAAACTAAACCTAGGAAAACAGAAATTCTCTCAGCTGTAAGGATAGTGTTTTTCACTTAGCAAAATATACATTTGTTTTGTTCCATAGCGATGTCCAACGTTTTCGGATCCTTGGAGTTTCACACTTTTCAAAGCCTCACATTTACAAAACAGAAACAATTAAAAACAGTTTCTTTAAAAAAAATAGAAATACATCAGTTCCTCTCAGCCTTTGCTCTCTCTGTCTCTCTTTCTTCCCTTCAGAACTGCATTCTTGTTACATACCGTGCTTTAAAAACACTGACGACAACAACAACAGAGTTGAAAATATTCAAAACAGTTTCAAAGCCAAATAAAAATACTCCTCAATAAAAACTACCTAACACAATCACAAAGCCAATTCATAAAATATGTCTACTAGCTCGGGAAAGAGCAAACAACAAAAAGAAGGGGGAGCCCCCAAAAAAGATAAAAAAATAAAATAAAAAAATAAAACTAACAGCTAATAAAATAAATAAAAGAAGAATCAGTGGGCTGGGGGACGGGGCGGGGGGGGAAGCGTAAACCGTCGGTGGTTAGTAAGAAAGCGAGATGATCTCCTCGGGTTCAGTCCAGTGTGGTCTGGTCAAAGGGAGAGATCAGGGCAGGGCGGCGGGAGCCTGGCAGCCAGCCGGCAGTGTGCAGTTTGATTCCAGAAAAGGTAACCTTGGCTCATCCCCCGAGGCTCACCAGATCCTCCAGCCGCCGTCCACGGTTAGGGCACTGGGGAGTCTGTGGGAGACAGCAGGGGAGGGAAGGGACAGGATCTAGAACAACCCACAGCTCTTCCCTTGGGTTTTTTTTCCCCCTAACGTTATTTGACAGAAATACTCAACATCCAAACTTGCCCCAACACAGACTTTTCCAGGCAATTTGCTCTGCATTTCTCCGGCACTGCAGTGGGCCACGGCAGAGATGCTTCCATTTTTAATGGCAACACGTAGGCTTGGCAGG